GGTTGCTGCTGCTCTCCGGGCACAGCCCGCGAACCGCGCTTCCTCACCTCCCGGTAAGGTACTCGGTACTGCCGCAGGTAAGGTCATATTGTGAAAAGCTAAAGTAAAGCCATAATAATAACTATACCTGTTTGACGTCGAGCCGTTAAAGACATTTGGACACAGTTATGAGACTGATTGGACTGAACTTAATGCTGTAATATCTCACAGAATTTTGATTACTCTGAACACATAGACTGGAGCCACCAAAGTTCAAAACCATTTTGCGTAGTATTATTTGATATGCAAACTAAGCAGTGCTTGCAACACATTCAAATTGTAAATATTTTAAGCATAAACCATCATTGGATAGGATTTCTGTCTCCAGCATCCTGCCAACTCTATTTAACAGCCCCAAATCGCTCTTCCCTTGATTTATATGACTGAATACCAACAGCGTTTGTAATATCAGTGCAGTCTCCAATATAGGCATGCCCTTTGCACCCTCATTTAGCTAAATAAGCCAGTATAAAAAGTTAGCCAGGCATCAGCCATTCTGGTCATTAAGGCAAACATATGAGCAATGTCTAAACCAAACTCTCTTGACGTATACCAACCAGTACTGCTACCCTGCACTGCTGCTTGTGAAGGTCAGTGGAATCTTGTAGTCTGCCTCCTGTTCAGAAGGACACTATTATCATTAATAGGACACTCAGAACTGGTTTTCCTCATTTTTATGTGTAGCATATAAATCTGGAGGAAGAGAACAGAAGGATATGGGAAGAAGTCTATGAGCTCTAGGCCTTTTAGGTAGATCAGTTATAAAGGAAGGAGGTGGGGACGTATTTGTTCTGCTTTTCATTTTTTGGCACATACTCATGCCACCTAACTTCAGGCACCTAGCAGGAGGCAATTGCCCTCAGTTCCCCCTACAGGAAACGGACAGAGGTAAGGTTCTCTTGAAGGCTCACTTAAGATCTGAATAGTTGTTTTGAGACCCTTTTTTCTCTCCACTGAAGGAAAGGTAGGATATAGGTAGACCAAGCATGCTTTTCACTTACATAGTTAGTAACATTCCAAAAGGTCGTTGAGGAAATATCTTCATACAGACATTTGCACTCTTAAAAACCATGAATAGATGTATGGCTTGTGTGGTGCAACTTCATTCATGGTAGCAAAAGTAAAGCAGTGAAAAGATGGCTCAAAAAAGCCTCAGTTAGCTTTCTACAGAAACTATTTCTTGTTATTTAATACCAGATCTGTGTACTACTGGATCACCTGGCAGTACAATTTTGATCTGGATTGGGCATGAGCACACAGCTGTAGGTCTCCAAGGCAGAACAAAACAATGTTGATGCTGAATTTATGCTAGCTATATGCTGGTTGAACCAATCATATTTTACACAGTATAGACAAAGTAAAAATGGTGTGAAGAGATGATAGCAGACCTATAATAAAGTTTGCAACAAAGTTATTTCCATTTTAAGTCAATCTGAACTGACAAAGTAAGTTTGTATTAAGTACTTTGTGCTTTATAGTTATGTTGCCTGCTACTAGATGCCCTGCACAATATATTATGTATTAAAATGCCATGCTCTATTCAATCATGGCTTATGTTGCTTCTGCGTGTCAAAAGTGAAGAATATTTTAAAATGCAGTTTAAAAAAGCTAGAACTGTGAAGGAAAACTGCTGTTAAATCCTAGAAGTGACTTGTTAAAAGAAAAAAAAATCCATTAGTTGTAGTGAATTTAAATATAGTATCTATATATGATGTCAATAACAAGCAACAACTGAGCCTGCTTGTACGTTAAAGATTTTTTTTCCTCCACACTTGTGTTCTCTGCCTATTAAGCTTCTGAAGCAGGCTCCATCTATAAAAGATTCCTTGGCAGGCAGAGGAAGCAGGGACTCAACCAGGGATCCCTTGGGTGCCTTCCTCTGGTCGCATTTGAGGTATTGTGTTACCACTGCAAATTAGTTAATTGCAAACACAATCTTTACAAAGCCTCCTGACATTTACACTTAGAACAGAATTGCCCTAGACAGGCATGACTGGTAGACTCGTTGAAAATTACGGAATTTTGGAGATTGAGTGTTGCAGATTGAGTTTTGCCCTGGTCCTGCTGA